CCACCTGTCCAGGCCGCGGTCCAGCTGGCGGAGGGCAGGGGCCAGCCGCTCCTCCAGGATGTCGTTGATGACCTGCTCCGGGTCGTAGCCGCAGTGCTCCAGGCAGGCCAGGATGAAGCCCTCCCCGAGGTCCGGGAGAAGGTCCTTCACTTGGGAGATGAGCGAGTCCAGCTCCACGCCACTCACCGGGGGGCCCAGGGCGGCAGCGGCCCCCAAGCACTGGGGGGAGGAGGGGAAGGTGAGGCCAGGTGCTGCTGGGACAACAGGCCCCGAACAGCACTGGACCAGGAATCCAGGGCCCTGGTGCGAGTCCTGCCCTTACAGCCATCGGCCCTTTGCCAGGTGCCCAGTCTCTCCGAGCCTCTGCTCCCTCCCGGGGAAGGGGCTCTAGGACTGACCAGCCGAGCTGCTTCTCCTCCCCGAGCCTCAGCCTCCCCTTGTGAACAAGCTCTCACACGCCCCCCGCCTCAGAGCCGCTGCCAGTGGCTGAAGGAACTAATGCTCATAAAGAGCCGCTCAGAGCCCGGCGCCGGCTCGACTCCCCACACACGGTCTCGGCTCCTACTGACCCAGGTCCCTTCACGCTGACCATGCAGCTGGCCAGGGCGGACGCAGCCCCCAGTCCGGGCCGTGGGGCGATGCTTCCCTGTAGTCAGACGCTTCTCAGTAAGGGAGCCCGTTTACAGCATGCCTGATGTGGCTTAATTTTGTTAGGTTTTTCCTTCACGGAAATTCCCAAATAAAAAAGCAACAAAACCTTCCTGACTCAGATAAGCCGCCAAATGGGGAGGAGGGTGGGCAGAGGTGGAGGGACTGTCACGCCCCAAGGCCCTGCGACAGCACCTGGGCTCCGAGAAGCCTGTCAGTGTCTATTAACGAGGCACCGAGGGCTGGCCACGTTCAGGGAGCTCCCCGCAGCCGCCCTGGGCGTCCCAACAACCTCAGGGAGGCAGGACGACGAGCCCCACCTGACAGAGGAGGAACCAAGGCTCGGAGTGGGTGACGCTGCCGAAGGCCACACGGCTGGCGAGGGGCAGGACCCTGATAGACCCGGGAGCTGCCTGACCCCAGAGACTGTGTGGTCTTACTCCCCAAGTCACGCTGCCTCCAGACACACGGGCAGAGTCCTGGGCTCAGCACAGCCACGGACCTGGTGGCTCTGGAAAAGCCTGAGAGGCAGCAGGAGAGGAGAGGCTCCCACACGGGCTCCACGGGCCCCCGCCCTATGGAGGGGCTTCCAGGGGCCACGGAGTGCGACCTGGCACCGCACCAGCAGCAGCCAGACCGGCGCCATGGGACCTGCTCAGAGGATAGCTGCATCTGATGGGGGGAAACTGAGGCTGTGACAGCTTAGGAGACCAGCTCTCCTTAACCGGCCCAGCACGCCCAGCTCAGGACCCTCTGAGGCAGCACAGGCTGACAGGCAGGGCAAGGCTGCCCATTACAATGCCCCCCCTCCCCCGCAGCAAGGGCAGAAACCAAGAAGGGAGGTTTCCGCTGCCCCAACCCCTCAGACAGGATGAGGACAGGAGCGGCTGCCACGGGAGAAAGCGCCACTCCAGACACACCTCCTCCTCCTCCGAGTTCTCCGGATGTGAGGCCGGTCCACTGACTGGCTCCGCGGTCGCCCCGACGCCATTAAGATCCTCGGCCCCTGGGGGGTCTTTCGCGTCTGTGGGTTTCCGTCGGTCCACCCCTTCCCATGCACTCTCAACCGCCTGGAGGATGTAGGCAGCCCGTGTCTCATCTCTGAGGATGTGTTAAGGGGTCTCTCTTGGGGACCACAGCCTCTCTGCCCCCTCAGCTCGGAGGCAGCTTCATTTCTCAATCCCTCCCCAGCATCTGATCACATGGCTGCTGCCAGGGCTGTCTAGGATGCACCCCGGGCACCAGCCAGGCACCTGGGCTGCATGAGGAACCGGGCTCGGGCCTGGGCAGGGGCCCAGGGTAAGCCAGCTGCCTGTGTGTTCTCGGGTCAACTGCCCTCTGCTCCCCTGGGCCCCAGCAGCCCACCTCTGACCTGGTCAGGCCAGGTCCCATCCCCGGGGCTGTGAGAAGGATACAAGACGGACGAGGCCTGCTGCAGCAAGCTGACGTCATCGGCCACCGGGAAGAGCGCATCGTAGTCCCGGAGGAACCTGCCAGACAGACAGCAGATGGGAGGGGGAGCTGGGGCCACAGGGGCACTGGCCTGCTGTGGGCCACACCCCGTGTCTGCTTCCCAACCACGGATTCCAGAACCTTAGACCGCGGTGATGACGGCAGGGGCTGTTGTGCAAGGTCTGTGGGGACTGATGAGGCACCACGGGCCTGTCCCGCTGCTGGTTCCAGCTCAGCCACACTCACCTCTTCTCCTGCAGCAAAGAGCTGAAGATCTGGAGGAAGTCTTCGATGAAGCCCTGAATGTTGTCACAGCTGCAACAGGACAGCGGGGATGAGCTCAGCCAACGCAGATGATCCGCAGTTCCTTCCGCCCGCCCCGCCCCGCGCAAGGCCTCCGGCCAGTTGGAGGAAAGAGGCTTTTTCTTGGTTTCCCTTCCTGCTCAGCGATGGAGGCAGGAGGGGGGGCAGATCTGAGGGTGATGGCCCTGCTGGGCTGGGGCGGATGCTTTCCCCCGGGGGGCGGCGCCCACGGGCTCACCTGCTTTCTAGGATGGGGAGAAGGCAGATCTGGTACAGGAGGATGTGAAAAACCTCCAGCAGCTTCTTCCTGGAGTGGGACAGCCTCTGCCACAGGTCACCCAGCAGCCTGTGAAGGCCGAGGGGAAGAGAGAAATAGAGATTTGAGAGACTAATCCCACTCCACCCAGCTCCAGCCCGTACACACCCTGGGCTGAGCAGGCCTCACAGCTCACTGCTGACAGCAGCGGGGAAAACGCTACAGGCTCTGAGGCTGGCTGGTTCCAGGGTCACTTCTAATTCAAACAGTGGGCCCGGAGGCAGCGGGCCATTAGCATGAGCTTAGAGCACAGCTGAGGGGAAAGGGCTGCGATGCCGGGGTCAGGAGGCTGCTGGGTAGGGATGCACCAGCCAAAGGTGTGTGGTCCTTGGTCCCACCCGTTGCCTTGGAGACGGGGATGCTGAAGCAGGGCCTGTGCTCCGGCTTCTCTCACCCACAGCACCACCCAGAGTTTTGTCCCCGCCTCACCTGCTGTCTTCAAGCCTCCTCTTCTTAATTGCAGACTCCAGCTCGGGAATTGCTATTTCGTAAAAGGAAGCGAGTCTGTGGAGGACACGTGGGTAAAGGCTACATTCGTTCATAAACACGACACGTCACGAGGAAAGCAAGCAAACCCAAGGGAGGAGGAAGGCGCTTCTTGCTCCCAAGTTATCTCCACAATTTTCTCCTGGGACGACCCTGGCTCTTCTCCAAGCTCACCCCAGCTTGTACCCCTGTGGTGGGTCCCAGGAAGCGACCAGCAGCCACGCCTCCCATTCAGATGGGAAGCCATCTGATAGGCTCATTCTAACAGGGCTACGAGCTGGCCACCCAGACGCACTGAGGTTTGAGAAACACACGGGTCACTCTCTTTTTTGTGCTCAGAAACTTCCAGCCGCTGCCCACCTCCTCTGTCCTCAAGTCGTAACTCCTCTCGCTGGTACATCCTCACCTGGCACAGCCCTGCTTCTCATCACGGCGACCTCACACCCACACCTTCCCAGATGGAATCTGAACTCTCCGTTCCAGCCACACGCTTTTTTTAACCCTCAATTAAGCCAGCCACACATTTCACCATCAGGCTCCCCCATGTGATTACTCCTTCCCAGGACCAGAAGCACGGCACCAGAATAGGCTGTCCTTGAATTTCAATGCAGCCACCTCTCTTCTGTAGACTACTTCTGTCTGAGCATCCTAGCTCCCCAAAGCCAGAACGGCAGCCTATGTGCCTAGGACAGTGCTGCATCCGTAGCACATACTCTGTGAACGTTTTCAGGCAAATGTTTGTCAACTGGCTGATTTCTGGCCACTTCTAGCCTAGTGTAATGCCGCATACAGCAGAGGGGCACCGGCCAAAAGAGGCCTTAGTGGGCCCCTGGGATGGCACGCAGAAGACAGAGAGGGCAGTTTGGCCCACATGCAGGTGTTACCAGGATACACTGCAGGAGGGAGAGTCAGGTGGAACAACTCCTACGGAGGGTGACTGGGCGAGATCTACAAAAATGTAAAATGCATATATCATCGGCCCCTGCAATGCTACCTATAGGAATTTGTTCCTCAGAAATACTTGCAGAAGTGCAAGATGGGTGTGCAAAGTTACTCTTTTGTTTTGTTTTTATGATTTATAATTTGATTTTCAATTACAGTTTACATTCAGTATTATTTTGTATTAGTTTCAGGTGCACAACATAGTGTTAGACAACCAAAGAGTTATTCTTTATAGCATTTTTTTTGGTAATAGCGAAAGTCTGAAAAAAATCCTATAGCTTCATCTATGGGGTCTGGTATCCCATACAGTGGAATTCCACCCAGCCATACCAGAGATTGAGGGTGCTTTATGCACTGACATACATCAGATTTAAGAGTACAATGCAAACAGCACACAGAGCACTCATATGCCAGCAATACATTTTTAGAAGCGGCTGGGCGATATATAGTTCAAATATTTGCTTCTATGTGCCTATTTATATGCATATCTTTGGAAAATTCCACATAAACACTAAGGACAATGGTTCCGTATGAGGAACAGATTCGAGTAGGGGAGAGTGAGGCATCACTATATATTTCATACTTTTGTGAGTTTTGAACTGTGTGCATGTATTATTAATTCATAAAACGAAAGGACCGAGAGCGAGAGAGATTCAGATGCACTCAGTACACACTCAAGAGAAAGGAGAAGGCCGCCACGAGAGGGATTAGCGAAGCTGTCTGGGCGACTCGTCCTCGCAGAAAGTTCTCGGGATGAGGTCATGCATTTGCTCAGTGGGCGTGCCTGGCCTCCAGCACAGCTGAACAGGCTGGGCCAGCCCAGGCTGTGTGTGGGTCAAAGGCGGCGTCACTTGGCAAACATGCTTCCCTCTCTTCCCCCCTCACCCCCAGAGGCCCAGCTGCTCCCCTGCCTCCACTGCCCTTGCAGGAAAGTCCGCTCTCCCAAAAATTACCCCCAACTCCAAAGACCCTTTCAAAAGCTCCCTGTCCACATTCGGGAAGATCTGCAACAAAATGGGAAAAAGCCTGTGAGAAGTGAACATCAGCAGGCACTAAAGTCTAAGAATCACGTGATCTGTCAGTGATTTTCATTTCCTACCTTTTGGGATTTTCCAAATTCCTACAAGCACTGGCCAGATTTACCAGGAGAAAAGATGCCTTTCAACAAAACAGACAGCTACAATGCCAGCCTAACCCCTTTCTTGGGAAAGCATCGATCAATGCTCTATCCTAACATCCTTGGGGAGGCTGATCAATCTTAACATCTGATCTTCACCGGCTGAGGTGATCCAATACGAGTCAGACACCGCTGCCACCTCTGGCACATGTCAGCGCTAGATAAATGTTTTGTTGCATGGGCGAGTCAACGACTGAATGGACTGGCGGCTGGGCAGGCCGAGCTGGACAGCTCCCAGAAGCTCCTTCAGGCCGTGGAGAAAGATGCCTGGCAAGAGCAATAGCCAGAGGCCAGCCCCGCGGTTGCCAGGCAACGTGCAGGTTACCAGCCCGCGTCCTGCACCCCTTTCTTCCTGCACCAGGAACAGATGCTCATGGTGCTAAGGGGGCGAAGAGGACTCGCCCTGCTCCATGCCCTCTCCACCTCTCTCTTTGTCCCAACAGGATCTTCCTATGACTTCTCTGGAAAAACACTTCCAGCGGCTCCCTTCTGCTTACAGAATAAAGGCCCGGCTCCCTGACAGCGTGTTCAAGGCACCTCTCAGTCGGACTTATCC